AAGAATGCGATGAAGATAACTAAATTACTACTAAACTATTAGACTTTATTGACAGAATGAATAAAATGAAGAGCAAAGGTACATATTTATAGGACAAGTCCCACAAAACCCTTTCCCCTTAAGACAAGGGAACCCAATCCCAAACCGACTAGTAAACAATAACTTCCTAGACAAGACATAATATAATAATACGAATAACCAAATAATAACCGAATATCCCAACGAATACTTAATATGAAAGACAAATAATAATAATAATAATATCCTAGGTGGCTGGCGGAATTATAATGCACCAAACCCCCCTCTTTAAACAACCTCGTCCTCGAGGTTGCCTTCTTTCTCTTCCTCTCCGCCATCCTCGTCCTTGAAGTTGCCGATCATAACGAAGACATTCGCATTTGCGCAGCGATACCCATATGTGAACCTCTCATCGCAATTATAGCACAGCCCGTCGCGACGACGTCTAGCAGCTTCCTCCGGTGACAGGTTGCGAATGATCCTCCTTGGCGGTGGTGGTGGTGCTCGTCCTGCAGCTGACGGTGCAACTGAGAAGCTGGCGATGGCGCCCAAGTCGCGTCAGCGGTGGCAGTCCGGCGCAGTCCTCGTTGCTCCCTTCTCCAAGCGCAACTCCTCCTCGCGTATCTTAGCCAGTCGATACGCTTCTCCAGTCAACTGGGGATTGAAAGCTCGAATATAGACATATATTTCTTGCTTTAATCCACCCATATATCATCCCATAATCGCGACCTCAGTCCACCCGTGACAGCGATTCAATAATTTCTCAAAATTTTGCTAGTATTCGCGACAGAGCCAGTTTGACGAATTTTGGCCAGTGCCTCATACCCATACGACTTCTCCGACGAACCATATCTTCTCCATAACTCGGCGCATAGATTTCCCCAAGTCATGACTATTAGTGGAAATATGATAAGTGGTTCGCGTCACCCTCCATATGATAAGTGGCCAGCGCCACTTTCTGCTCCTCGGGAATACACTATTAGTGGAAATACTTCTCCACGCGGGAGACCCATCCAGATGGATCCTCCTTGCCAGTAAACTTTGGAAACTCCAGCAGAGCAATTCGTGCCCGGAACATTGGTTGCCTCGGCCCTTCAACCTGGCCCATGTGGACCATGGATGGAATGAACCCAGTTGGTCCACCCACGTACGACCCAGCTAGCCCTGCGCTGGAGAATCCGCCCATTAGTGGCGATCCAAGTTGTCCTCCCTGCTCCAGCCCTTGCGGAGGTCGCGGCCCAAACCAGTCACTCCCAACTCCTTGCGCAGCCCAGGGATTATTTGGCCCAGCCCAGTTCAATGCTCCACCAGCCGCGCCCCATGACGTGTTCGGCCCAACTCCGATTCCCATCCACGGACCGGTTGGCCCGTTCATGTGGCCCACCACCCCCGGTGGTAGCCCATCTTGAGGACCCTGATCGAACCCCGGCCCGTTCGGATTAAAAGGAACGAGCCCGCGAAAACCTGGCCCGTTAGCGCCGCCAATTACTCCTCCCGTTCCCTGTTCCGCGAGGCCCAAACCGCTTGCTCCCACTCCTGGGCCAGTCGGCCCACCTCCTCCTTGAGCACCCGACCCCGCTCCGTGAGGCACAGCCCCAGTCAGCCCAATAATGGACCCGATCGGCGGTTTTCCTCCCAGCGCCGCAACCTGCTCCCCTTTGCGGTCAATGACGAGGTTGCCCCAGCCGGCTCCAACTGGAATGTCGAGCCCAATCCCTTGGAAAACCCCTCCCATTTGAGCCGCTTCCCTCCTTGACTCCTCATTACCCTTATAAGCCGACACCTTGTCGATCGCGCCTAGCTTTAACGGCGTTGGTGTCGTGCTCCTGCTCGTGGAAGAGTGAGACTCCTCGTTCACGGAGACTGCCATCAACTTCTCCGCCGTCGGGATCTGGTCGACGGTGCAACCTCTTTCCTCAATGATGAGGTCGAGCTCCTTCGACGTCTCGGTCACTTTCTTCTCCCAAGGCGGATCGCTGAGGATTGCGAGGATCGCGCTGACGTCGTTCGCCAACCACCCTTGCTCAACGCGGACAATGTTGATCTCCTCCGACAACCGATCCTGTCCATCCTGAAGTTTCTCCTGACCACGCTGCAATTGCCCGACGTCGATGCGGAGATGCTCCAGGGCTGCTTCGTGATCGCGGTTGATAGCATCCTGAGCTTCAACCCTAGCCGCGATCGCCTGTTGGTGACCGTGGAGGGCTTGGAGTTGATGCCCTAGCTCCTCGTCGCCGCCAGCGGTGGGTGACAATGGAACCGTTGCTTGCTTGCGGGGTGGCATGGTCTCCTGGCTTGGTTCACTCGGAACCAGGCTCTGATACCCATTGGAGCGTGATAGATTCCCACGCGTCGTAGAACTTGAGCTCTCTGACGAACGAACTAAGAATGCGATGAAGATAACTAAATTACTACTAAACTATTAGACTTTATTGATCGAATGAATAAAACGAAGAGCAAAGGTACATATTTATAGGACAAGTCCCACAAACCCCTTTCCCCTTAGGACAAGGGAACCCAATCCCAAACCAACTAGTAAATAATAACTTCCTAGACAAGACATAATATATTAATACGAATAACCAAATAATAACCGAATATCCCAACGAATACTTAATATGAAAGACAAATAATAATAATATCCCAGGTGGCTGGCGGAATTATAATGCACCAGCTTCATACCTGCCACATTCATCCATGCATAGGCATTTCAACATCATAAGCGTGGCAAGGCGAGTTCGGATAAACACTCCCATGCATAATCAAGAATCAATTATTGATTTGGGAGACATACGAGTTTGTTGGTCTAGTACGTGGTCTAGTCCTACTTTGTATGAAAGGTCTCGCTCGAGGTCTGATAGGTGACAAGGACTGATAATTGTCGAAAACATATTGATTTCATGTGGTTAATGTGATTACTCCATGATATGTTTGAGACATATAATGCTTGTTTTAGAGCCAACTGACCGTAGAATGGCTATAAGACCATTACCACCATGTGTTAGAATTTTGATACGTTATAGGTGGAAAGCAAGGAAAAATGAATGCAAATGCTCAATGGTAGAAAAGCACTCCAGGGCCCGACCCAAAACCAAACTAGTTTGGGTTATTCTTCAAATGACTTGGATTGGGACGGAAGCTTTGGCGAGGGGAATTACTTGGACCAATTTCAGGGACAATTCTTAGAATTAGTTGGCCCAAGTTCTTTATCCTCTTCTGAAGGATTTGGACGAGTCTAATTGGGAGGAGAACAGCTGGGGAATAATCAGACACGGAGAAGACAACAGCTTGCGGGCGAACTAGGACAATAGTGAGCAGTCGAGCGAAGTAGCGACGCTTTGCGGCGATCGCGAGCAGGGAGCAGAACGAGCGGAGCAGCAGGGAAGAAAATATTAGTATTCTTTTCCTTTTGCTTCGATTCGAGTATGATTATAAACATGATTGATTTATTTATTTTCGTCATGAACTAAACCCTAATTTCTGAGGGAAACACCATAGGATGTAGCTATTTCTAGAATTGATGAATTGATTCATAGTTCTTTTCTTCCAATCTCTATTGCATGAAATTGCTTAATGCTTTGTGTTGACTGGCCACCAATACATTGATTCATAGTTAATTAGGTTAATAAAGACAGTGAAACCCTAATAACTGAACATATTTCATGTGACATGGTAACTTATCGAAGCGACAGTGGATTAAATAAGATGCTATGCGGTCATGAATAAGATATCGGTCGTTAGGGCTAATTAGTTAAGTTGATGAGCTACGATAGTAGGATTTGATTTAACTGATTAGTACGTAGTAATTCCCGACAGGGATAACTAGCACAGTAATGATATCCTGGCTGTAGAGATATGGATTAAACTGATTGGAATATGTGAATTAATTTGGATATGATAGGTAGTGAGTCCCGCTGTTTCTCCCAGAGCTTTCTCCCGTTGATTTCTTTCGAAAGTTTTTATTTGCATAATTTGTTTAGTTTAATTTTCTCTTATAAATTAGTCTCATTGAACTATTTTCATTTATAGTTTGCTCCATAGAATTGATAGAAATTAAGATTGTACCAGTCCCTGAGAGATGATACCCGGATTTCCTGTTTTACTACAAGATAGGAATTAAAGCATTACGCTTTTGCCCTATCAAGGACCCTACGAATTTCTCCCTTGAGGCGTCACGCTGTTGGATCGAATGAGGACTGATAAAGTAGGATTGCTATTTCTAGTCCCATCCTACATGACTGGGATTTTGATCATTGCATATTGAAGAAATGCAAGGTAGACTTAGGGGTCGTTTGGATGTGGAAATTTGAAAACGTGGGAATTTGTCTGAATTTCCATGTTTTACAAAACCAAGGAATTGACTTGTGGAAATTGAAAAAAATTCCACGTTTGTATAGGGTTTAGTTTTGTGGGAATTGATGGTGTGGAATTCGGTAAAAATACAAAAATGCCCTCCTTTGTTTATATACACATACCCCTCCTAAAGGTAGTTGTTGTATTATACTAACTACTAATTGTTGCTAACTTAAGCATAGTTAGAAAAATATGATATGGAAAAGTTACGTATCTTATTTTTCATACAAGACTGCCCTCTCTGCCGTCTTATTAGGACTATAGATAGTAGTGACCAGATATGATTCACTTAGTGTGACAACTCGAACACTAATAAAATGTTCATCAATATCCACCTCACTAACTTGCAGTGAAGACTTCCAGAACAACCATACCCTTCCAGACTGAGAATACTTATAGTTATTCATATGTGACCATCTACTAAACTGCTTATTTAATATATCTTTAGAATTCAATTCCAAAACTCTAGTTTCCAAAATAACAAACATATCTACTTGTAATCTAGCTGCTTATTTATTTACGTATCTATGTTTCTCGGGACCATTAAACCCCCTGAGATTCCAGCATAAGAACTTCATTTACCTCTCTTTTTGTTCCTCCCACCTTTCCTAGGAGAAGTAGAAATTACAAACTCAATACTCTTATTATTCAAAGGCACTCGAGACTGAGCTGCTAACACCGGAATCCTCACACTACCACCTGGATCCCTTCCTACAGAGACATTCTTTCCCTTCCTAACAACCAACTGAAACCCATCTGCATCCAGTAGTTCATTTCTCACTGGAGTCGAAGAGATAGCACCCTCCTTAGCCCCCCTGAGATAGTCTGAACTTTTGAACTAGCCTGAGCCTCTGAGCTATTCTGAGCCTCCGTTGTTACTGCCAGATCTCCATCTGAATTACCAGACGAAGAAGGTATGTCATCAACCACTGCTTTACCCTTATCAACTTCCACCATTGGATCAACCACAACCAATTGTGCTTGTTGTGTTGCTCCACACTCCAACCCAACACCCATATCATGACCAAACTCAGCACCCTGCTCACAACGAGCCAGTATGTTAAAATAATGAACAAACAAATTCAATCTCTCCTCACCTTCTGGACTAATCCGGATCTCAGTTGGGAAAAGAGAATCCGCTGCCATTTTAATGCATAACTTTGTTGTACACATCTAAGCTCCTAGTTTGGTGGCTTGATCCATCCACAGAGGTGTACCCAAAAGACTCACAACTTGAATCAGACCCTCCACCGTCATTTACTCTACCGGTGGTTCTCTGATCCTAAGCCAGATTGGAAGCTTAGAATTATCCAGCTTCACCGATTGAATCCCAGGAAACCACTTACGAATGAGCAAAGGAATATTCTCACAATGCCAAGCTTCGTTCTCAAACATCCAAGTACTCGATTCACCATTTTCAAATTGAAACAGGTACATATTCGTACCAAAAACTGAGACAAAAACGCGACCATCCCTACCCCAGAAGCGTTGAGCCCATCGACGAATCATAACAATTAGAGGCTCCGTTGAAAGGAATTGACCAACCAAAGCATTGAACCATGAAATACTCCTTCATCGCGAACCTCCATAGGAATCACAAGCTCGCCATTGACCAGATGTGGAGCGACATAGTGAAGGCGGTTGCCCTCACCCACGTCGAAGAGTTGAGCCTAGTTCGCCGGCTCCGGCGGGGCCATGGCCGCCGAAAACGTGAAGAAACTAGGTCAGAAGGGGAGAGAAAGAAGAGAGAGGTCAGAGCTTTCTGGAGCAGATTATTTGTTGAAATTTCAAGTAAGCTCCTTTATATAGGTAAAACTTTTAGTTGTACAATAGAGGGATTTTTTGGAAAGCATAGGTACTACTGAAACTTGTACCATATTGTATAGGTACAAGTTTGAGTTGTACCATAGAGGGATTTGATACGAAAGTGTAGGTGCAACTCAAAGTTTTACCATATAGCCTAAGTACAATTTTGGGTTGTAACATAGAGGGATTTTTCAAAAGTGTAGGTACAACTTATCGTTGTTTCATAGCGTGTAGGTACAAGTTTGGGTTGTACTATAAGGGGGTTTGTTGGAAAGTGTAGGTACAATTTATAGTTGTATCAAAGCGTATAGGTACAAGTTCGGGTTGTACATTAGGACTTGTGATACAACTTGGAGTAATAATGATACAGGCCGTAGAAACATTGTTAATCTTTGTGTTTATGGATGATACATCGTATTTTGGACAAACACATGTCAAAAATCATATGAATATGGCATATAAATTGTAAAATCTCACACCCGTGAAATGTGGCTGTTTCATAGCATAGATTGTTTACAAAATGAAACAACCTGTCATGATTTAAGAAGGAACAGAGCTAGCACTACATCTAATCAGATGAGATACTTTGTAAACAAAAGTAAAAAGCAGCCAAAGCATTACATCTGTCTAATTCAGCAACCATCCATAACACATGTCTAATTAATGCTTAAGTTTAGCTTCCTGCCTAATTTACTTATGGTACAATCTAACCTTGTAACTTAACATCGCAGTACAACATAAATTTTTACTTATATATTGTTAGACCAAGCGGGGTCAGTAATGAATACTTTTGATGTGATCAATTCACAAATTAATTCAGATTTCAATAGTGAGAGATTAGCACTAGCTTGATTGATCAACCCAAAATGGTTTGCCAAGAATCTCTCTTGAAATGATTAATTTGTTAGGACACACTTGTTCCATTTGTGACTTCTTTGTAATAAAGATAGGAGCAAGGTTAGAGGAAGTGGAGAGAGAGAGAGAGAGAGAGAGAGAGAGAGAGAGAGAGAGACGAGTCGGGACACACGATTTTAACGTCTCGGAGATACTCACCACTATCTCACGCGAGACTCTAACTTTTATTAAAATAAAAGACTCTATCCTATGAAATAAAAACAACCTTGACACTACGTTTCAAGAACCAAATAGGTGCAACTCCACACCTATTCAACCCTTAGCTAAATTTAAGCTAAGCTACCCACTCAATCAATCAAGCCAATACTCTTAGTTTAGTTTGATCGAAGAGTAATCCTCCTAGTGCAACTTCCAAGCAAGAATCCCCTCTTTCTCTTTCACTAGTCCCAATTACAAATAACCTTTCTACCCTAAAACCCAACCTAGCTTGACTATCTCAACCTCCGAGATATCAATCTATTCACACCACGATATACGATCACACTATTTCGCTATTACAAGTGAGAAGAGAACTTTGCAAAAGGTACTCTAGCCTACAAATGAATCCACTATTTATAGTGGATGTGTGACCCCATTTCCTTTCATTTGTAGTCCTTGTATGGCAAGTATCTCCTTGATTTGATACACTTTTCGCTTGATAAAGTAACTCCTTCGAGAGCAAGCTATCACTTTGAATTCTTTCCTTTTCCTAGCAAATCCTTTCACCTTAACCTTGATTGTGATATTTCTTCATAGATTTGTTAGTTCAACATAATATCATATATTCAAAGCATTTTACCCTATGATATTAGAATTGCTAAGTCAAGCTTGTTGACTCAACATTCTCCCCCTAAGATTGATTTAGCATCCTGTTGCTGCATATGCTATATTCACCATAATGGTTAATATTATGAGACAAAGACTATTATATTAATCATCCATTCCATGTCGCATAACATTCAAATCACTTAAAATAAAGCATATTATGTCATTCATCCTGTGTATAGATGAGGACATTATTCATTCAAAGCACTCAACAACAATTCAAATAGAAGACATAACTCAACACACTTCTTACTCAAAAAAATGTAGAAACTTACTCCCCCTAAACCCATGCTTCCCTTAAGTTAGGACATTTAATTGTCCTGCTCAAGATCATGATTCTCATAAAGAACCACTCCTTGAGTTGGTTTCTGATTCTTGAGACGCTTAAGGGCTTTGTTAGAGGGACGGGGGCCTTTGGCCTGTCGTTTGAGCTTGAATGGTCGAGTGGAGACCGAAGCAGATTTAGCACGATTCGCGAACGCCTCATCTTCAGCACTTCCCGCTCCAGTATTTGATGTCGTGTCCGCATGATCATCTTCCCCTTATGTTAAATTAACGATGGGGGGTAGCCCAACTACAACAAGGACCTCATCAAGTGTGGGATGCACACAATTATCGGTGAAAATTACAAAGTCTGACAAGGACACTCCCACACGTCCCAGCAACAATGTAATCATCTCGACTAACGGCAGACACATTGCGGGAGATTCATTGGAAGCAACATCAACAATGGCTCCAAACAGTAGGTGAGGATAACTGAGGGATATATCTGAGACTGCGTGGGACATAACCCAACAGTCATGAGGAAGGACAACATCCAAGCTCTCTTTGCGTGAGAAATACATGCGCGTGATGCAGTAGTGAAGTTTTGAGCAAGTCATCTAGCTCAGCAAAAGATCGATTCGTGGCTTCCTGACGCAAATCGAATTTGAAGGACCAAAATTCTAGAGGACCGATGAGTTTCTTGCCGAGGGTAGGCAAAAAAAGAAACGCGACCAGATCATCAATAGTAAGGGTAAGCTTATTACCGTAGACCACAATAGTGAACTTCCCTGTTGCAAGCCCGTCAGTTCGAAGATTGGAGTAGAACGTGCGAACGACAGCTGGGCAGTAGATGCGAGGAGGAGAATCACCCATCGGAAGGCTGCCCAGATTGTCAATGAGAGTGATGGGATCCACAGAATCAAGAAAAGCGAAGGCATATGCATCGAGTGTGAAGATTGGCAGAATGGGCTTCTCAGCAAAAATCTGAACATGGCGATGACGATTTTCACCAACAGGGTGCGGGGTGAATCGCACCGGTGAAGGTGAGAATCCTCTGTTGCCGGCGTAACAGAGCTGGAGTCAGGACAAAGGAATCGTCAGAGGAAAGGTACGTGATGGCGATGCAGTGAGCGGCTGCAAGAAGACGATTTGGTGGAGGGTTTTGGTGAGAGTGCGACGCTCTGGCGGAGGATTTATGTAGAGAAGATTTAGCAGCGATTCAGCCGGAGCAGCAAGGAAATCCATAGTGAAGTAATGGAAGAAGGGAGAAGATTTGCAAATGTGCGAGTAAGAAAAGGATAGAAGAATCAGCGAAGATGTGCAGAGATGGGAAGAAGAAGAAGGCAAGAGGGCGAAGCCTTCGAGAAGAAAAGGCAAGAACCTCTCGTTGGACGATGAGAATTGGAAATAAGAATATTTTTTTCTTTATTAATTAATTTATTTATGTATTTTCGGGTTAGGACAGACTGCGATTAAAACCTAATAGGGAAACAAATCATGAAGAAAATGTACAAGCAAAAAATTAGAAAAATCAGGACCCAAAACTGGTAAGATAAGATTGAAAAACCATCCCTAGCTCACTTTGTATAAAAAAATTGATTTATGGGAAGTGGCTTAGTGAAAATATCCGCTAGCTGATCACTTGTTGGAATGAACGAGATAGACACAATTTGACGCTGAACTAGATCAATATGCTTCGTTATAGAGTGTTGGACCGGATTTTTTGACATATTTATAGCACTCGTATTATCACACAAAATGGGAACGGAGGAAGTCAAAATCCCATAGTGCGTTAGTTGAGTCTTTAACCACAAAAGTTGTTGACAACAGCTTCATGCGGCAATATACTCAGCCTTGGCGGTGGAAAGTGCTACGGAATTTTGTTTCTTACTAAACCAAGAGGTTAAAGATTGACCATAAAATTGGCAAGTCCCAGATGTACTTTTCCAATCCGTTCTACTACGCGCAAAGTCTGAATCACTAAACCCCATAAGCTCAGGACTCATTTCTCTAGGATACCATAGTCCTAAAGTAGGTGTACCTTTTAAATAACGCAAGATACGCTTAGCTGCACTAAGATGGCTTTCCTTTGGTTTGGATTGAAAACGAGCACACATGCAGACACTAAGCATAATATCTGGCCTACTTGCCGTGAGATAAAGAAGTGAGCCTCTCATCCCATGATATTTGCGCTCATCAACGTCTATACCACCTTCAGCTCTATCTAGTTGAATATTGGTAGCCATCGGTGTCGAGCTAGGATTAAGATTACTAAGGTCAAACTTGGCCAACATCGACTGGATATAGTTTGACTAAATAATGAAAATTCCTTTTGACGTTTGTTGTATATGAAGTCCTAGGAAGTAAGTAAGCTCACCCATCATACTCATTTCAAAATTTTGTTGCATGGAAGAAGCAAACTGAACACCCATAGCTTCATTAGTAGAACCAAAAAATATGTCATCAACATAAATTTGAACAACCATAAGATCATTATCTTGTCGTTTCATAAAAATAGTTGTATCAACCGAACCCCTAACAAAACATTCACTCTCTAGGAATTGAGATAACCTTTGATACCAAGCTCCAGGAGCTTGTTTTAGACCATATAGAGCAATTTTAAGTTTGTAAACATGGTTAGGGAATCTATGATGTTCAAAACCGGGGGGCTATTCTACATAAACTTCTTCATGTAAGACTCCATTTAAAAAAGAACTTTTAACATCCATTTGATATAGTTTGAAATTCATGGAGGAAGCAAAGGCACATAACAGTCTAATTGCCTCAATAAGTGCCACCGGGGCAAACGTTTCATCGTAATATATTCCCTCCTCTTGATTGTAACCTGATGACTCGATATTTACACATGTTTTTGTTCGCCATTCATATACTGTTTGAGGCTCGGATCTCAGGTTTTAAGCCGATCTTATGCTAGGTTGTTCTTGTTTATGACATTTCAGGTCTTAATGCATGAATGAAGGTT